GGGAGGAGACGCCCCCCGCGCCGCCTCTGCGCCGTGCCCAGCCCCCGGGAACCCGGGCAGGGCTCTGCTCGGTGCTGGTGAGGGATGGATTCGGGGCCACGTTTTTGCCTGGGGATCCTTTGCCTGTTGCTCCGGTGCCCATCCCATCCTGCGCTCCCCAAGGGTCTGTGTCTCTCGCAGGTGATGAATTTCTCTGCAAGGTCATTGCTCCCTTAGGCTCTGGCTTTGAAGGTAAATGGGAGAAGACGCTGCTGTTCTTGTTCTTGGGCAGGGGGGTTATCATCAGTGGGTCTGCACGCTGTGAATATCCCAATAGGTAGGTGTGTGTGTGTGTGTGTGTGTGTGTGTGTGTGTGTGTGTGTGTGTGTGTGTGGCAATACTAACTGGCATGTTTCTTATTTTCCTACGCTTATTCTCTTTACGGTCAATACACTACAGTTGTATATAAAATGTGTGTGTGTGTGTGTGTGTGTGTATACAAACACACGTTTAAATATATATAATCTTTCCTGAGATAGGCTGAGAGAGAAGNATACAGACACACGTTTAAATATATATAATCTTTCCTGAGATAGGCTGAGAGAGAAGAAGGGCGGGCAGAGGTTGATAAAGGGAAATCACTGTAGAGACCTGTTCAGTATCTAGAGGTGAACTTTGGAACCGGATTCAATCAGGGTAGAGACTAGAGGCTATAAATGGTTCTTTGGAGATGGATTTTTAGAAAAGAGCTGAAGAACACTGTCAACCATGCTCACAACAGACCTTCACGCCATCCAGGCACATCTAAAAGATACAGGCAAAATTTCAGACGCAACAATGGACCGTGAAAGGGGAGGAAATAAAGAGAGGTACTTAGAGACTGCAAAGTGAATTTGGGATGGTAGGAAGGCAGCAAGTCCCTGCCAGGTTGAAAGGGCCTTCTGGAGGGGCACTGGGAGGAATCTCTGCTTGGAGTGTAGGCAGTTCAAGGTTAAGGTGATGTGAATGTCCAGAAAGCAGCAAAGGCGGAGGGGAGAAGGCAAGGGTTTGGAGGGGGAGGGGAGAACCGAAGCTCTGAGAGTCACCCAGAAGCAACCACCTTTCATTAAGGTATCTTTCTCTTCCTGTTAAATCAATACCTTGGATATGGTCCATCTAAAAATTTTTCACAATACGTTAGTTAAAGATCCATCGGTCCACGTTTGCATTTTGTTTTGCAAGGAATCTGGGTCATGGTGGGACTGGAAGTAACTGAAGTGTTTACAACACCAGCAAAATTTGGAGAGAGAGTTGATTAAGGCTTAGCTTCATGAAATATTTACACATCTCTTGCGTGGGCTTTTGTTTGCTCTTGTTGGTGCTGCTGCATATTTTACTTTGATAATGATTTGAGTGTACTTCTCCCAAATGTGCTTATTTTCCAGTTATAAACTATTGTTTCTTTTCCACTGTGTTCACCACTGGCCTGCCCTGAGTAGCAACTGTGGGAACAAAGATACATGAGTCAGTCACACAGCATAAAGGCAAAAATCTTTTCTGTTGCTATCTGCAAATGGCAGGAGTTTGTATTATAGAATATGCTTTTGAGCTAGAATCACGAAGAACATTTTTCAAGTTTCTGTGTGGTTTTAGTAGGGAGAATAGGTTATTGATTCACAAATAGAAAAATAAGTAGTAATTGCCATTGCAAGTCTAGATGTTATGTCGTTGGAATTTATTTTGGAAACAGGGCAGAGGAAGTCCTAGAGAGCCGCGGAGAGCGTGTTGTGGTGTGGTGAGGTTTACCTAATCACTAACTAGACTTTCAAAAAAATGACAAGGACACAGATCGGAAGCGCAGAGCTTCATATGGGAGGTGGAGGACTGAAGCACGATATGAATCGCGTCAGTCTTAACTGGAGGTCGGGGTGGGTTCCAACAAGCTGTTTTTGAAATTTGGATTTTTTTTTTAATTGCCTCAATACACTTGCCCATTACACCTGCAGTATTTCTTTGATTGTGCCTCAAATATACATAAAAGAATGTATTAGATACAGCTATCCTTCACCGTATGACTTTTCAGTCACAAAACCTGCAGCTTACAGGGAATATTGGTCGTGGAATCACAAAAACCAGAAGCCTCAGAGAGTCAAGACGTGCACTTCCAGTCCCAGCTCACACTTGAGCTCTTTCAGGGCAGTTGTTTTTACCCTTTGTACATTCACTCATCGGTTCATTCGCACATTCAACATACATTTATCCTGAACTAAACATGGTCCTAAATTTTGGAATCGAAGAGTAACCGAGACACAGTCTCAGCCAGCAAGCCTTGGGAGAAAGGAAGTGACCGCTAGTTAAGCGCTACGTCAGGGCAAGCACAGGGTGCTGTGGAAGCCAGAGCGTGGAGGTGGAGAGGACAGGGACAGCACCCAGGGACCTGAAGTGTAAGAACTAGTCTGGTAAAGAGGAGAGACAAGGCAGGCCTGGTACCAAGGCCAAATATGCAGGGCCCCAGGAAGGACAAGTAGCTCCAGGTGGTTGAAAAGCTGTGAGGAGGTAAAGATGGGAAGATGGAGATCGAGAAGGAAGCAGATCCATCCTCAGGCTTAAGTCCAGAAGAGCCACGAACTCATCTGCTCAGTCAATCATTTGATCTGGAGAAGTTAGGTAAATGCCTTCATATCGAGGCTCTATGTGGTTCACGTTACCCGAGTTTATATGCTTCAAATATCTAGAAACTATATTTACCTTAATTTGTAATAGTCTGTTTAAAAGGGAGACGTGTTGTTAAGAAAATCACAATTCTCTGGGCCTCGATTTCTTCATCTATGAAATGCCTACCACCTACTTTGCATACTGAAAATGAGAAAGAATGAGGGAATGGAGACTTGATTTTTATAGAAATGAGTTTTATAGAAATGTAGGGAATCGTATTTTTATAACAACAGTGCTAAGGGCAAAAGGATGAAAAATGTATATTCCAAAAGCATTTCATTGTCGTAGATGACTCCAAAAGAGAAACTGAATTAACAAAAATGTAACTCAGCAACACGGGCTAAAGAAAGCCCAAAGGTCACATACAACTTACAGTTATTTTTTTAAGTGAGGGAAACATATACAGCAATCTCATAGTAATCAATAAGTGTCCTTTTAGAAATAGTCACAACATATGTGAAGTCAGTTTACTGGGTATGATAGCATTTTATTTTATTTTTTAAATATGTTTTACTGATTACAGAGAGAGGAAAGGAGATGGAGAGAGAGAGATAGAAACATCAATGAGGAGAGAGTCATTAATCAGCTGCCTCCTGCAGGCCCCCTACTGGGGATCGAGCCCACAACCCGGGCATATTGCCTGACCAGGAATCAAACCGAGATCTCCTGGATCATAGGTCGATGCTCAACCACTGAGCCATGCCAGCTGGGCAACATTTTATTTTCAAAAAATAGAGTAAGACAGAATAGAAGGATAAATAGTATTGCTCATTGAACTTTTAAATTAAATATATATTTATATGTATGTACACACTGGACTATGATGTAAAAATCTACATCTTATTATACATCATGTTCCAAAAAATCTGAAAGCAACTGCTTTAAGTGAATGAAAAAAAATAGATGCTTCCTGTTTGCAAGACCCCAAGAGTCAACTAGGAGATTGGATACGTAAGCATTTACACAAAATCCTGAATGGCAGAATTGCCTGGAGAAAGGCAAAACATTATGACTTACCAGTAAGGTCATTGCAGTAAAGTTAGGAGATGGAGATCCTTGGGGACTGAATTAGTCTAGAGAGCTTCAGGGAGGAGGCAGAACTTGAGCTAGTTTATGAAGGATGGGAAGAGATCTGGGTGGGCACTGAGGAAGAGGTGAGAATGTAGAAGGGGGAAGTAAAGAATGAGGTGGCATAATACAAGGTTTAAGAATCATTTAAGGCCCTGGCCAGGTAACTCAGTTGGTTAGAGCATCATCAGGATACACCAACATTGCAGGTTCGATTTCCAGTTAAGGCACATAGAAGAATCAACCAATGAATGCATAAATAAGTGGGACAACAAATTGATATTTCTCTCTCTCTCTCACTAAATTAAAAGAACATTATTTAGAAAAGGAAAAGTGAATATCAATTTTGGGGAGAGAATTGCAGCAGAATTTATGTTTAGACTAAAATATTACTCAAGAGTTGCTATTTATTTTATATCTAAGATTTCTTTTCCTAATACAGCTACTTTAAGAAGATCTGGATAGAATGGCCATAACATCATAAATCTGTCATTTCCTGCCATCTTTTTGTTTCAATAATAATTTCCAGGTTAGGCCTTGTTTCAACTGAATTTAATAGTTGAACTATTGAAATTACGTGATACACCACATTGCGTCATGAGTATTTCATTTCTCAGAGCATAAGTATAATCTTTAGTCAAGGCGNGAGGGGGCAAGAGTAATCAGTCTTAAATTGAGCAAATCCTTCAATTTCCTTCAACAAGTTCCGCTTTTNAAGGCGGCAAGAGTAATCAAGTCTTAAATTGAGCAAATCCTTCAATTTCCTTCAACAAGTTCCGCTTTTCAAGTGCCCAGTAGGTACAAAGCCCAGTGTTAGGCACTGACTGCCCTGTGAAGATGAACCAGACCACTTCACACCCATAACCCCAAAAGGAAGTGCAGCTTCTGTTGGGTTTTCTCTTTTGGGTTCCCTGAGGTACTTGACCATCATTTTAGTTAAGTACAAGTCATTTCCAGTGATTTGACTTACAATTTTTTGAGTTTACGACAGTGTGAAAGCCAGACTCATTCAGTCGAAACCATGCTTCGGATTTTGACCATGTCCTCAGCTCCTGATGCTCAGTGAGATACTCTCTTGTGATGCTGGGCAGCTCCCAGTCAGCCCCACAATCACAGGGGTGAACATGGATACTCTGCAGTAGATTCTCTGTGTTAGAGGATGTTGCCCAGCTGTAAGCTAATGTAAGGGTTCTGAGCATGTTTAAGGCAGGCTGGGCTAAGCCATGATGTCCCACGGGTAAGGTGTTAAATGCATTTTCAACTTGCGATGTTTTCAACTTACTATAGGTTTATCTGGATGTGACTCCACCTTAATTGAGCAGCATGTGTATTTAAATAAGTTTGTATGCATTTCTAGAAATTAACATCAATGTTCTGCTGTAGCCTAATAGTTATTTTGAGGAGATCAAATCAGAGAAGAAAGGCTTTACTTGTGTTTCTGAAAAACTTTTGTTGAGCTTCTTTCAGCTCTTCTGCTCTCCTATGAAATG